AAAAGTCATCTGACAAAAAAGGTTGGTGAAGTGATTTATTTATACATGTACTACTGAAAGGCGCCCGGAACAGGAGAATTTGTTTTAGCTACCAGTATCAGAAATAGTACATTTATATACACTTATAGTTACTGGTCAAATTATCTTGAAGTATGTTCTTAATACCATTGATAAACTGGTAATATAAAAGAAAGGTAAAATACTTCAAATTTAACTTGTGGAAAAATAAGTCCAAATGTCACGATACATGGATATGAACTGCAAAAATATACTTTTTAGGGATTATAGATTTTTCGAAAATTAAAAAATTGAATGAAAATAAGGTTGAAATTCGGTATGTTTGTGTTGAATATTGCGGATATGTCGAGGTGAGTCCTCTGTATTAATCACTTACATGTAATTGTTTTCCAAAAACTTATTCGAGTCATTTACAGGTATTGAAGTTAATATGGCGTCGATAAATCAATCTGCCATAATCCATTTAACTACAGAAAATGTTCATTAAGTAGCATTTAAAAAATGACCAGAAAATATTCCTACCAAGACTTTAACACTTTTCTTTTTTAGTGTACATCTTATATAATTTATGCTTCCTTGTAAAACAAAAGAAAATGTTGTGTGAAACAAGAATGCCTCAATTAGGATTCGAAACAAACTAGAGATACTCAAATTAGGCTTAAACTCACACAAGTCATGGTGTTTGAAAAGAAGTTAATGAATGTTCCTATAATATACATTTTTGTGACATTCAACCATTCAAAATCTATGGACAAGGTTAAAGATTTTTAAAGGTAGGTCAAACTCGAAGGTCAAGGACAAAGAAGTCAAAACTGTTGGTACCCAAGTTAAGGTCTTGCCAGAAGGAATAAACATGAAATATGAAAGCCTTAGCACCAACTGTTCAAAAGGTATGGCCAAGGTTCAGGTTTTTGAAAAGTACATTAAACTCCAAGGTCAAAGTCAAAGGGTCAAGATTGTTGGTATTGAAAGGAAGAGCCTATCACAAAGAATACACCTTTGGAATATGAAGCCCTAGTGCTAACCATTCAAAACTTTTGGCCAAGGTTAAAGTTTTTAAAAGTGGGTCAAACTCCAAGGTCAATGTCAAAAGGTCAAAATTATTTACACCCAAGGAGAGTTTTTTTTCAAAAGAAATAGACATGTGAAGTATGAAAGCCCTAGCACAATCTGTTCAAAAGTTATGGCCAAAGTTAAAGTTTGGTAAAATTTTGCAAAAGTGGGTCAAACTCCAAGGTTTCGAGGTCAAATATGTTGGTACCCAAAGAAAGGTCTTGTCACAAGGAATACAATGTGAAATATGAAAACCATGGCTCTAACCAATCAAAAGTTATGGGCAACTGCCAAGGTTCAAGTTTTTGCGGACAGACAAACAGACAGCTAGACAAACAGAGAGGCGGATAGATAGAGCAAAAACTATATGCCCCCGAATCTTCTATTACGGAGGGCATAAAAAGCATCTGAAATATTTACTGACCACGCAAATTGACTCCGACAATATATATGTATTGATATTACAGCCACAGTGTAAAACGTGGGCTTCATCTTTTTAAATTTTATGAATCAGACGTACATTTCACACTGTCTGTAATTAATCAAATGCACTTACGACCATCCCTAACAAAAAATACTATAGTTAACTATAGTTTACTATAGTTAACTATAGTTAATCAAAGTTTCAAAGTTTTTTTATTATAGTAAATCAAAGTTCCAAAGTTTTTACTATAGTTAATCAAAGTTCCAAAGTTCTCACTATAGTAAATCAAAGTTCCTAAGTTTTTACTATAGTAAATCAAAGTTTCAAAGTTTTCACTGTAGTAAATCAAAGTTTCAAAGTTTTTACTATAGTAAATCAAAGTTCCAAAGTTTTAACTAAAGTTAATGAAAGTTCCATAGTTTTCATATTAGTTTATCAACTTATTAAAGTTTCTTAATATTTTGTTTTGTTTATTTTGCCGTTTTTAGTGGGTGGAGGTGGCCCGGGGTTTGGTGGGGGCTAGGGGTTGTTGTTCGTCTTAATTTAAATTAACGAATTAGTTAATTGAAATGCAATATTTACATTTATAAACTGAAAAAATACACGTTTACTGAAGTTGATGTAACAGGTGCTTGGGTTCTTAATGACGCAATTTTTATTTTATAGTATATTATTTTCCTTTCGCCATAAAAAACTTACATTACATCTGCATAGTTCTCTGATGCTTTTATGAACATCATAAAATGTCAAGAATGGTAATCAAAAACATAATTCCACGGATTTTAGTAAATCAAAATTTTTACTATAGTAAATAAAAGTTTCAAAGTTTTTACTACAGTTTGTCAAAGTTTCAAAAGTTTTTACCATAGTAATTCAAAGTTTTTACTATAATAAATCAAAGTTCCAAAGTTTTCACTGAAGTTAATCAAAGTTCCACAGTTTTCACTAAAGGTAATCAAAGTTCCAAATTTTCTACTACGAGTGTTGTCCCAGAAAAACGCGAACTTTTTGAATATTTCAAAAACTATTCGACCAAAATAAATGATTTTTTTGCACCTTGTTGGGAAATGAAATTTTTGCTATTTTGACAAAATATTATAAAGTTGTGATGTCAGATGCATGTAAAAATAGCTTTCAAAGGGTGTCCAATATCGGTGCTCGGCGCACGGCAATTTTTTGAGTTTTAGAAATAGCATTGTCAGGGAAGTTTTCTTTATCACCAGGCTATACGGAAATAAAAAGTGAAAAAATTGCCCCCATAAAAACTCTATGATCTGAAGTACTCATGTGTGAAAATTCATAAATTTAGCATCACAAGTGACAAAACTATGACGTTAGATGCAAAAACATCTTTACATAGATATTGTCAAAAAAAAGTGACGCCGGGCGATAATGCGGAGCACCAAATTATCAAGCAGTACTGTTGAGCAGGATATGACTCCTGTCCATACGGGAAAAGATATGTAAACGATGGAACGACACAAACATATACCTCGGACATAGATTTATAGCTAGGTCAATAGGTTCGAGGATGGCTTGACTGATTATTCGATGGAAAAAGCGTTTGGTAGACCAACAAACTGAAAAGTCAGAAGGCGGACGCCATACGTGGCGGTGGCCGTTTAACTAAGCGAGCAGTTAGGTAAACCTATGACCTGGGTTGGGAAATTGTTAAAGTTTATTAAAAGATTTAATTTGCGATCTTTTGGAAACGATAAATAATACCTGAGATGAAAAGAAAATTAAATACACTGTCAAATTTATGCTTCAAACAAATTTTATCAGACGCACGATTCCATACTAAATTCACAAACGCCACGAGTTACGTTTTGACGTCGTCAGTGTTGCGCCGACAGCTATTTTGTAAGATTCGTTTACCTGAAAGAAAAATCTTATTGAAAGAGAAATTTTATTGAAACTTTTATGTATTATTCAAAAAATGATGATAATGGTGTACGCCAATTTGTTACTTTATAGTATTAGTGAAACAAAAGATATTAAAAATGTTTCCGTTTTTCTGGGACAACCCTCGTATAGTAAATCAAAGTTCCAAAGTTTTCACTATTAATAGTAAATCAAAGTTCCAAAGTTTTTACTATAGTAATTCAAAGTTCCAAAGTTTTTACTTTGATGCTATAGTTAACTATAGTAAACTACTAGATGAAATCCCGCGCAAGCGCGGGGAATTGAATTTATGCTTCATGTACTACCGACAGAAAATATATTGTAGTTTCTACTGACAGCCTACAGGATTATAGCATCAAGAAATAATTTGTTCAAAACCCCGCATGTGCGTCTCCCCCCCCCCCTTTTTGTAAAAACTTGAAAAAATAGCAATTACATTAATTGATGTTTATTGTGAAACCTGTTATACTATGTTATGGATATATTGTTTGCTCTTATTTCATTTCCGTCAAGGATAAATTGAAAGCAGCGAATATGCACATTTTACTTATAAATTGATATCTTATTTTGGGGGGGGGGGGGGGGATTGGTGGTAAAAATTCACAGGTACTTGTGTTTTGGTTTATAAATATGTATGTACATGTACCTTATTGATATGTAAAAAATGTACTTTACCTTTTTTACATATGAAGAAGGTTCATACATATACATAAACCAAGACGCAAGTATCTGTGTAAGAATTAGCTTTTAACGAATAGGCCGAGTATTTGATAATATACACATTTTACCGATACATCTGTTAGGAAAACCTACTACATATATGTAACAGTCTTTCGATATATAAATATATTCACAACTTATAGTGTTATCAATGATTTACCATTATTTCAATGACCATTCACACATAAGTTTTTCTTATGTTCCTACAGCTATAATTGTCTCGTTTTCTTTTTAACATCGGGCTCGATGCTATATGATGTTCTAGAAGCTTCCGTCAATATTAAGATCGGTGAATGACAAACATAATTTGCACATTTCCCTTTTTAATCGGTTATCACAACTTATTTCTTTTATGTCATTTAAATCAAGTTTTGATTGAATAATTCAGTGATGACGTTTTATGAAATAAATAAACGATTGATTGTTGTCAGTTTCATTGAAAGTTGCTAGAAACTTAGATCCGCCAACCGGAAACGCCACCGTACTCACGTTTTTGCTATTTCATGGCTGTATATAGAAAATAAAAGTAGACTTTTAATTTAATGCACGATACTGATTATGCGAGTAAAATCTAAATATAGTTTACGGACATCATATTGTATCTAGTGTATTCTTAGAAGAGTAAGTAAAAACTCTGGTGCATCCGTTTCGGAGTTTATTTGCAAAATCTATTAACTTATAGTATAGATAGTTAACTATAGTTTACTATAGTATTTTTTTGTTAAGGATGAATTAGCTATACGTTTTAATTCCTCCAACTTGAAATAAAATATTTGCACTTCCTGTAAATTAATTTTAATTTGAATGAGACTTTGAATATACATAATAAAAGTTTTTAATTGTAATTATTTCTTTTTCTTTGCATAATTAATATTTTTTAATGGAGGGCATTTCTAAAAATGTGTTAGTCCTGAATTTTCAAATAGATTCGAAAAATGTCAAGGATCAACAGGTGTGGGCACCTCGCCCTGAGCCCATTCCGGGCTGTCCTCCTGGCCTAGAATACTTAACAACGGTGGATCAGCTACTTGTTAAACAGCAGACAGAGCTTTTAGAGGGTTTGTACATATAAAATAAATTGTTTTAAAAGCTTGGTTTTTATTAAACATCTACTTATTATTCTGCACCTTATAATCTGTTCAAAATAATAAAAATCTTTTATGATTAATATTGCAAAATTATAATATTCCTGAATTAAAATGAAATCCAATGTCTTTTACATTTCTTATTATTATTTTGCCTTGTGTGGTTAAGAAAAGATGGCTTGTATTTTATCAATACTACATATTTTGTTCTGTAGTTCTCGTAGGATGGGAAACTGCAAATAAGTACAAGATCAAAAACAAAAGTGGACAACAAACCTATTTTGCAGCTGAAGGTATTTGTTGTCTTATCACTTGGAGGAGTCTTTATATTATGACAAGCTTTCCTTTAAAAAAATAAATGGGGAGGGGGTAGGTAACGTCTTGTCCATCATTATACACAAAGGTGGGTTTGAACCATTGGTTTATTTAGCCATATCTTCTAATTAATGTATCAATAGATAATAAGTACACAGTGCTTCAATGTTTGGGTGGAGGGGAGGTTAATTCAGCATGGTGAGACTCCAGTGTGCTCTGGCAATATCATCACTATTACTGTGCATATATGTTCGTCTGTTAATCAGAACAGAACTTTAAGCATTGTTTTAATTGCTCACCTTATTTAAATGTTGAAATCAAAGAAGTCTATGGCACTACAAGTTGAATATAATGCAGTGTGCAACCGTTTTTTAGTTGAGATAAGCTTTTTAAATTTTAGTTCTGAAATGACTGAATTATAGGAAGATGCAGTTTTGCCAAAATAGATATGTTTCCCCCTTTTTACAGGTTATAATACGAAACTGGCATGAAATGCTTTTTAGAATGCCTAACTATGAATTCGAGCATGCGCATTCTAGTTTTAGAAAAGGATTAACTAAGTTAAAAGTACTTATTTGAATTATCTAAAGCAAAAGTATAGTCACTGATTCTAACATTATTGATCTCCTTTGATTGATATTTAACTGTCATAAAATTAAGTAAAGAACTTCAATTTCGTAAGGAAGTTACAAGTGAACAGGGGATAAATGTATGTGGTGATTAAGGAAAATAGAATTGATCACTCCTCGAAGAATGTGTTTTATTGGCATATCTTGCTTTTATTTTCAATTTTAACATTATGAATAGATCCTTTTTTTCATATTTGTCTTATTTGATTTTTTTTAAAATTTGATATTTGATTGCTTAAAGTCGAAAACAAAACCCCTGTCATTTCTAGCCCAATCGAGCGCTACCGACTGTAAATACGGAGTCTTTTTAACGGGTAATGCGCATGCTCGAACTCACGGTAGAGCATTCCTGGAAAACGCTTTCCTGATTCTGTGGTGATTAAATACATGTATATGATTCTATTGCCGACGGAAAGTAAACGCGAGTTTCCTGATTTTAGACCAACAACCAATAATTCAGAAAACCACTTCTTTGTATACTTCTCATGGCTACAGCGATAGCTTAGCTATATTTTTCAAAGGTGAGCTTCTGAAGAGCAAAATATATAATTGTTATAATCTACATTTGAGTCCCAAAAATAAAATAAATAGAAATTAATCTATAATATTGTGTAATGGGATGTCAATTCTCCAAGAAGATAGATATAGTAGCATATTGACGTCCAATCAGATGTGTAATCAAGAATGGCATGATATCAAATTGATATTGATTAATACAATACAGAGTTATCAATAAATAATCTAGAATATTTATATGCTTTTACTCTGTTCTAAAAAATGCAAAATGAAAGAGTGAAGACGTTGATTTGACGATCATTTATAATGAATAATGCTGCAGTTTTTCCAAAATCATTTATCAAGCAGGACTATTCATGTACAATTTCTTAAAATTAAGGTTTGATAAGGGTTATTTTTCATATGAAAGAAGAAATTAAATTATAATTGATAAAATTCCATTTGGCAGAGTCAAATGCCTGCGCTCGCCAGATTTGTGGCCCAAAAAGAGGTTTTACAATGCACATCACAGACAACATGGGCGAGGTGAGGAAATTGTGATAATTACAAATTTAGGTAAATCATTTTTATACAAAGTCTTCAAGAACGGGTCTTAATCAGGTTGTATCCACGACAAATCACTAGGAAACTGCATTACTGTATTACACTATCTTTTTTTAGGAGAGTGTTTGGGCAAAGTAGCCATATTGAATATTACAAAGAACTTTACACATTTAACAGCATTTGAATTTTTTTATTCATTTGTATTTGAGGTTAGAATTTTTTGGATCCATGCTATCAATAAATCACAGGTTTCTGTCAAGTAAGTATCTGTATCCATTGTATATATGTTTTAAATAAGGCAATATTTACCCCTATGTTCAACAGGAGGTGATCCGAGTAACAAGGCCGTTTAAGTGTTTTGCTGGATGCGCATGGTGTGCTTGTATTAACGCTTTTGCTCATGGGGTTACAGTTGAAGCACCACCGGGACAGGTGGTAGGATATGTCAAACAACAGTAAGTTCTTTTCTTATAAAGATATTTTGATGAAGGGATATATCGTAACTGTAAATCGGCATTATAAAAAGATAGACAGTGAGGATATACAGGTATTGTAACCGTAAAAAGGTAAATAGGAGGTTTATATTGTAACTGTAAAAAGATAAATAGTATGGACTACATTGTAACTGTAAATCAGCATTGTAAAAAGATAAATAGTGAAGATTATATTGTAATGTAAATCAGCATTGTAAAAAGATAAATAGTGGGGATTATATTGTAACTGTAAATCAGCATTGTAAAAAGGTAAATAGTGGGGATTATATTGAAATGTAAATCAACATTGTAAAAAGATAAATAGTGAGGATTATATTGTAATGTAAATCAGCATTGTAAAATGATAAATAGTGAGGATTATATTGTAACTGTAAATCAGTATTGTAAAAATATAAATAGTGAGGATTATAATGTGAGATTATTAGTGAGGATTATATTGTAATGTAAATCAGCATTTTAAAAAGGTAAATAGTGAGCATTATATTGTAATGTAAATTAGCATTGTAATGAAAAATGAGGGTGAGGAGATTATATGGTAGCTGTATATATGCATATGGTTACTTTAAAAAATAGATGGATTTGACCATTTTCTGTGGTTTTCTCTGTATTACATGTAGTTGTTCAGTAAGTCAATAATTATGAATTTGTTAGAGGTAATGCATTTATTCTGTATAATTAAGATCCTATCTTACTCACAAATTATAATGTTAGGAAAGTGCATCATATTATTTTAATGAAAATTGTTTGTTTATTTCTCTGAATACAGACCATTATTTGATACATGAAAAAATATGAGTGATCTATTAATTAAAGAGTTCAAATCAATCAGCTATTTATTTAAAAAATAGCTGGGTTTTAATAAAAGACAAGATATACATCTTCTGTAAGTTTATTTAGATAAAATATGATGCAGAAACATATTTAATCCTTAAAGGCTAATTAAAATGAATTCAACACAACCATAACTTATTAAAAAGTTTTTGTTAATGATATTTTAAGAATCCATAATAGCCAGCGTTGATCAATTATAAATAATTATAAAAAGAGATTGATTATTTGTACACTATCCTCTTTTTTTTCAGACTGAGTTGGTTTCCACCAAGATATTCAATACTGGATGCCAATCGCCAGGAGGTCTTGTGCATCAAAGGTCCTCTCTGCATGATTACAGGGCCATGTTGTCCATTCGACCTTGAATTTGAGGTGAGTATCAACTAGAATATAAAGTTCAGTTCATAAATATTTAAACATTTCTATACCTAGGGATCGATGTTTAAAGGAAATGTTCTTCTTAAAATACAACATTTTGAGTGGGACCAGTTTTAACCAATTTGGTTAAAAGGATCTATGGGTGATAGGAATTGTGATTTGTTCAAATGATAGAGCAATCCCCCTTATTTTCAATGGAAGAAAACATTAATTAAGAATTAAATTATGAAAAATTGAAAATAGGTTGGGTTATTTAAAAACCTGAAACTGCAAATATTCTAATGTTGTCTACGGAATAAAATGTACCTTTAGATGGCTTATTTATATTGGACTAACCAAGGGTCCATTGAATAAAAGAATATCGGGGCATATATTTTTAAATTAACAACGGGGGTCAACAGATTCTATACAAGCACTTAATTTACCCGATCATTCTATTTTGTCAGTGAAAGTTAGAATTCTAGAAAAGGATTAACCATCATACAAATTGTCCATCATTGAGTACACCTTTCCATAGACAACGAATAGAATACTGGATCATAAAAATAAGCATGATGTCGATCGTGTTGGAAATCTTTCATGTCAACAGTTAGCAATGTGAATGTGATGGGACTTTTTAACAATACAGAGAGACGTGAGCGTAGTCATGGAGATCAATCTTACAAAAAACCTATTATACACGATGTCTCCTTTGATTCACTACAACCTTATGTAAATAAACAGTTATGTCATCATATTCCCATCAAACTTTATTCTGTCCCTTTGAAAGTTTTAAATAGTCAATTTGAAAAAGTCATGGAAAGTCCATATTTGGATTCTTCGACACCAGAATACAGGTTCGGATCTGTGATTAAAGATATTGCAAATCATGGGCTTTTTAAACCGCCACGTTTTACGGAAGAAAATATTGCTCAAACAACCCGTTTGTTCCTTAAACATCAATATGCCAACAAAGGAATTGACGCAGTTAATATAAGTAATATTCCTAATCACAATAGGGTCCAGTCTTGTATTCCACCATATTTCAGGTTAAAGTCCACGCCTTGTATTTCTTACAAATATACATCGACTTATGGTTTCAAACTTTTTAATTTAAAAAAACCTCTACAGTGCCTACATTTTGTAGATATCAAAAATCTGAAACATAATCCTCCAATGTGTTCATGTTCTTCTTCATCCTACACTGTACACAAGCATGAAAAATACCTTGACACTTTGTTTTTGTGGATTAAGAGTATCCGATGGATGTTGAAATCTCCCATTAAGCGATTGAGGGGCAATATGAAAACAATATACCCTTCTCTTTTCATTAATTCAGAAGTGAAAAAAAGAATAAGATAGATTACACGATCAGTATGTACTGGTCCCAGGCAACGGGTAACAACATTGTCTTTGTTTGTAAGACTCATTATTTTAATTGCATTTTCGAGGAACTGGGATTTAATTCTGCAAGTGCATGGTAATCCAACTTATACCCTTAGCTCCTTTTCTAAAGAGGAAATTCTTCAAAATCATATATCAGTTTTAAAAGATTTTAATATTCCCAGCAATCGAAATGAATTTGAATTACCATGTCTATACTTGATTCCTAAACTTCATAAAAATACATGGCGCGGGTTCCAGTTAATGTTCTACCAAACGTCTTTCTTTACTCCTCACTAAAATATGAACAGCGGTGAAGGAGAAACTTCAGGAGTACTTTACAACTATATATTCGAGAAGTGGTGTAAATCAGATGTGGATACTTAAAAACTCCAAGGAACTTCTAGATTATATGAAATCACAAAATTTTACCATATCAGTGACATCAAAACGTACTACTTTTCAACACTTTATACAACCATTCCCCACGATAAATTAAAGTCCAAGGTTTCTGACTTTATAGAAAGTTGCTTTTTTTATAGAATGGAATTCGTAAATTTACCTACCTACATTTGCAAAATAATTTTGTTAAAAAACATTCTGATTCTTCACACAAGTACTCTGAAGTAGATATTAAAAAGATGCTTGGGTTTCTGATTAACAATATATATGTAGTTTTTGGAGACCAGGTCTTCCAACAATCTGTTGGAATTTCCAAGGGTACCAATTGTTCCCCTGTGTTAGCAGACCTATTTTTGTATCCCTATGAAGCAGAATTTATTCAAAATTTTGAACATAAGAAAAAGAAATCTCTTGCTGTGGCCTTCAACATTTAGATATATCAACGACGTATTATCAATAAAAAATAGTTTCTTCCATTCATATGTCGACTTGATATATCCCAATGACCTTGAAATAAAAGATACCACAGAGTCGGACGGACATTTCTGTTTCTTATTTGGATATTTTACTAGAAAAAGACGTTGATGGTAACCTAACAACAAAACTTTATGATAAAGGTAATGACTTCAATTTTCTATCGTCAACTTCCCTTACTTATGTAGCAATATACCCTTATCGCCTGCATAAAGGTTTATATCTAGCAGATGATTCGATACGCAAGAGCATTCTAAAACGAACCATTATTGACAAACAAAGTAATGAAACAAGAATATCAACAGTCTCGTTTAAAGTCATCATTTTGCAAGTATGGTCGATGCCATGACCTTGTCAGCAAATACAATCTATCATTAAGTCGAGTGCTGACTGACATTTTTCATACTACATTGTAATTGATAGGCCATTTTTTAAACACTGAATTGTCTACAGATTTTTCCGTTTGCCTGATCATGACAATGAACACAAGGCGGTTGTAACCGGTTGACAGGGGATCCTTACTTGCAAGTACTCTGAGGTTGATATTAAAAAGAGGATGCTTACTCCTCCATGGTAACTGATCATACTACCGATGTTTTTAGAGGTCCGTGTTTGCTCTGCTCCCGATTTGTATTGTTTCAATTGACTTTTGAGCTTGATTACTGTTCATTATTCTCTAATTTTCATCTTCTCAAGAACAAAATAAGATTCAAATCTGTCGAGGGGAAGGGATGGGGGTGGGGCTGAAATGTGATTTAGTTTTTAATTGAAATGTGTAAACAAAAAAGTTAAAATGTTATCAAGAGGTACAATTAATGACCTTAGACAAAAATGGGGTCAATCTTTACGCAGACAATTATGCATTTAATCTTCTCAAGAAATACAGAAATGCAAATTGTCAATTTGTTTGCAAGTATTCTCATGTAGTCCATATTCATGTTTGTTCAAACCATGGCCCCTTTGATAGGAATTTGATAAAGAATTCAATGTCTTTTGGTGAATTATAATTATGGTCTTAAAAAATAAAATCTATTCACTATCATTGAATGAACTATTACAAATTTATGCTATTAACAGTTTGTATTTCTAAAAAAAATAAAAAGGAGGTAGTAAAAAAAAATGTTAAAGACATTTTGGATTCAATTAAATAAAAGTCTCAAAAAAGGTAAATAACTGTTTTGTGTACATGTGCATTTACATGTGAAGTGATAGTAAGCTTCGAGACAAATATATTACATGTATTATGGCAAGGAAGAGAATTTGTCACTACTTGACGTAAATTGTTTCCAGGTGTTTGCCAAGGACGGGAATACAAGTGAGGGGAAGATCAGCAAGAAGTGGGGTGGAATGCTAGACTATGTCCTCGACATTGGCTCTGATGCTGACAGTTTTGGAGTTTCGTGTAAGTATATAAATAGTTGGGTGGTATTTTGACTGACATGTTTTTACCAATTGTTAGGTCAATTGTTAGGTCATTGTGAGGGGATGCTTACTCCTCCAAGGCACTTGATCTCATCTCTTGTGGTTTCCAGGGTCCGTGTTTTTGCTCTATTTACGATCTGTATTGTTAAATGAAACTGCCCATCATTTCACCTTTTTTATCATTACTTTTTTAAGTTTGTTACAAAATAAGACCTTTTTTTCATGACTTAAAGCTGCTGAACCTTTTCAGTATCTTTGATTCCATCATTAATCTGTCCAACATTGTTATGCATCTCCACTTCTGAACTTTTCATCAGGTTTTGTGTTCATGATAACTCATTAGGGAATGAAAATTGACGTTAATGGTTTTTTTTTATCACAATTTATATTTTTAATCAAATTGTGAAGACCCTACATTTCTGTTTTATATTTTATTATAAAAACATGATTGTCATATTGTGTCAAAATTTAGCTTGTTATTTCATCAGGAGTAAGACAAAATTTGTTATCAGTGTTAATTCTGTAACTACATGTATATCACGTGGGTGAGGTGTTTGATGGTAGGTTCCTTAGTTTTTTAATGAAGAAGTGACCATGTTAAGTAATTCTTCAATTTTTCTTATAAAATACATGATAGTAGAAAAGGATGATAATTCCAATGAGTCCATTGGACTAACTTTCTTTCCTGCTGCAGAAAACGTTCATCTGTCACCTTCAGAGTTATTATCACTTCTGCCTGCAATAGCTTTTTTAATGAAAACTTTTGCCTGGGTGATGTCAGCATTCTTATGATGTAAACTCCATTTTTTATTTTGGTTGATTATACCTTTAAAAGAATTATGATTGTATTTTTTTGGTTTTGTTTGTTTTTTACATTACCCCCAAGTAAATACAAGGAAATTTTGTGCAGGTAACTGAATTATAAAGATCATAAATTTAAAATGACAGTGTGTAACATTGTTCAGCGTTTAAGTTTCATTTTTTTAATTTATACTTCTCTTATTTATTAAATGATCAAAATTATAATTCTTAAACTCCACCTTTAGATAGATATTCCTCATCTACATGTAGGCCCTTAATATTATACAAATGTAGCTGTTCCTTAAATGTGTAATAAAAAAAAAAAAGAAAAAAAAAAAGAAAAAAAATAAAACTGAACAGGGTATGGATACCTTATGCACTTACATATTCCGTTTAAAGGGTATTGTGAAAAAAAATTGAGAATGTTCTTTATTTTTATAGTTCCTATGGATCTAGATGTCAAGATCAAGGCGGTGATGATTGGAGCTGTGTTCCTCATTGTAAGTTAATACATTTGTACCTCTCCATTCCTTGCTTTAAAAATTCCACTCAGAAATACATGTATACTGGCTACAGAAAGAACCTCAATATTTTTTTTTTTTTTTAGATTTTTTATTTCAAAAATAATGTTCAGAAATATCTATGCTCATTGAAAAATTATTTACATTAAACCTAAGTTTTATATCTATCACATATTTATTTTGAATATGACTCTAACTGCACTACACTGTTTACATGTAAGGTGAATTCATCATGTATCGGACCACAAATCAGACCATCGAGTAAATAAGCAATATTAGATTTTTTCATGAATGTATATTTCGAAAACAAATTCTTGTAATCCATCACTGGATTTACAGTTTTTGTTGAAACTTATCAAGAGCAATCCCCATGGAAGTTATTTAAAGGTGCTTGGACACAGATTTGAAGTTAATATTTTCTCAGATTTTCTGTATAATTTCATGACATATATGTTGCTATATCATTTCATACTAAAATATAATAAAAATCTTATTTCATCTCGAAGTTATTGAAACTTCAAATTTCTGGACGCGTTTGATTGACACATCCTTGAACTTTCACAATTTTTAATTTTATTCTTAATACTTAAGAAAAGTGGCAGTTTTGTTGTGTATAAATGAAAAGTATTAAAACTATAATCCAGAAAATTCAGAGTAGAAATGTTCGAAAGCAAAACCCACTCACAGTATTGTCAGTCCGTGCTCAGTGGTGTGTGCAGACTTTAACAATTGAACTCACCCGGTGAATCGTAAACATTAACAATAACAGAGCTCGTGCCCTGTTTACAGAAACAGTTTACGTTTCACGGGTGTATTCAATTTGTTAAACTCTGTACACAACACTGAGCACGGGCTGACGAAATTAGTGAGGGGGTTTGCTTTCGCACATTTCTACTCTGAATTTTCTGGATTATAGATGTAATGTGTTTCATTAATACAAAACAAAATCGCTTCTTTTCTTAAATATTAAGGATAAAAATAAAATTTGTGAAAGTGCAAGGATGTGTTAATCAAACGCGTCCAGGAATTCGTAGTTCCAATAATTTCCAGATAAAATAAGTTTTTAATTATATTTTCGTGTGAAATGCTATTGCAATATTTAAGTCGTTATATTATACAGAAATTTTGAGAAAATATTAACTTCAAATCTGTGTCTAAGCACCTTTAATAAAATAACTTTGAAATAAAGAAATTAGATTTAAAATTTTTTTAGTCCAAAGAAGTTATTTTCACTTTTTGGAAAATGTTTGTATTCAAATTTTGCCTCTTTTGATACATTTTAATGTGATGCATGTAGTTTAACCAGCTTAGGAGACGCATTACAAGAAAAGTTAACACACTAGAAGGCAGCATACGTTCCCTGAATACTATCTACTACACTTCACGGATGCTAAGTATCTAAATAAACCAACAGTTTGAACCCACGAGTAGACACTAAACACCAGAGTTGCTACGCTGCTAATAAAAATACATTTTGTAACGTGAAGCAGTCACGTATCTAAGGACTATTCATGCTTCCTGAAGCTTAATCTGCATGAAATGGAGGGAGACTCTAACTCATCATTATAAACTGTTTAACAGCAAACAATAACATTATGATTTGGGGGGCTATAGCTTTAGAAGCAGATCTCTAATAATGACCAGTTTTATCACGGATAGGACACACTTTCACCAGTGATTAGACTAGCATAGGCACTTGTACATTGAAGCATCTTTGTGTCATTATATGTTACTCTGCAAATGGAGTTTGCATCTTATTTATACTACTGTATTGAAAAGATTTTTATTGTTATAGTTTGTAATTATAGCTTTTATAAATTAAGCAAAACCTCTATAAGTCTTCAAAATGTACAGAAATCAATATGAAATAATATTAAATTAATTTAAGCTTATACAGAATTTCCAGTTCAAAGTATGATCTATCCAATCCATGATAGAAATGGCAACATGTTCTAATTTTTCCTTATCTTTCAATGATATAGGCACGTATTCTCCAGAAAATGTTGAATAAATTTTGAATAACTGCTTCGACTTTTCTCATTTAACTCTTCAAAATATTTACTATTGTTTTTAAGTATACAGCTTTAATTATTCTTTAAAGCAGAAGGATATCTGATCCATGGTGAATCTAAGCTAGGTACTGTAGACGCTTTTATATGTTTATTGGTGTATTGTATTGGTTTATCAAGATGAATAAGAGTGTGGATCGACTACCACCAGGGTTTTACTGATCTCTGTAATTTTAAGAGGCGAGGTACAGACTCGTGTTTCTTGACTAATTTTTAATGATGTCAAGTCAGATATGGGGGTATATTGTCCTTCTTTCCCATTTTACTACAATTTTACACACTGTTTTATTAAGTATAACACACTTATAAAGGATTCAATTTGATTATTGCTTTACGTCGTGTCGGTAACATTTCAGCCATATTTCGGTGGTAAGATCAAGTTTATGTGATCGGTTTTGAAAGTTATTGGTTTGCCTGGCAGCCCCCGGTGAGCCTACTTTTTTTCGAAAACTCGGAGATAAGGGAATGCCTTTAGAGCTGTAGAGAGAGAGTTAGAGAATTCATATTGGATATCGTAAGGTTATTCCTACTGTACCTGTCAAAGTCAAACGGGACTTTGTTTCTGTTTGGGTCATCAAACTTCACATTTTGTTTCTGTTTGGGTCACCAAACTTCACAAACTCATCACTTTTTATTTATTTATTTATTTATTTATTTATTTATTTTTGCAGGACTTCATGTACTTCGAAACGAGTGCAATTGATAATAGTCTCCTCTCCGGATAAACACTACACAAATTTATTGGTTCAAAACGAGAAGAGTGGAATGAAAGCAAGGAACACAATATACCAAAAACATGGTGGCAAATCAGTTAACTTATACATGAAAAACGTTTACTAGATATGCAAATACTGCGTAAAAGGAAATTTTAAAGAGATTTAACGATTTTCTCTTCAATTAAATCCTTAAATATTTTTAGTGAGAAATTATTTTAGCAATTTTTTGATGAGAGAGAAAGCTGTATTCCTTTTCTTCAGAGATTGTAAGTGAGTTGGTAAAATATGAACTAGGTAGTGAAGAAAAAAAATCACCTTATTTTATAATACTACAGACTTGGTATTAAACCAGAAAATGATTTGTTATGTTTTAAAAAAAACATTTACTTCGAATTAATATGACATGTATTTCATTTATCCATTGTAAATTTTCTCTGAAATGATATTGGTTTGAGTAAATAAGTGAATAATAGCACATGTTTACAGCCCCATGACAAAATTATGGGGCTGTATTTAAAAAAAAAATGAATATGCTTCAATTATATGCATGTTTAGAAAGCCTTTGAAAAAATATATATAACTTGCATGATCCTCAATGCCACCAAAGACTTCAGAGAAATATATTGTCACCTGCGTTTTATGTAATGGCTTTAGTTTCTTCTTTTTTGAAGTTGTCACATTTTAAATCCCTAAATTAAATATCAAAGCTCAGACCATAATTCTTTTCTGCTTAATATGTTTTAGTTTAGATTTTTTGAAAAATCCATTCTTTAGCATTAAATAACATAATTATTCATCGGTCTCTGCTGTTGCTATTCACTGTTAGCTATTATTAAACTAGAGAAAAATGCGAAAGTATATGCCTACATTTTATTTATGAACTGAGTTCAATTGTACCATAAACATCAGATTGAGAAAAATAGCAAAATCACATGTTACTTTTAAGAAATAACCCCTTTTCAATGTACCTGATAAAAAAAACTTTAGGCAGAAAAGTTTTTGTGGAAGTTAATATCTATACTGATCTAACTTCGAATCATGATTTTGTGAAGTTTATTATACCACTGTATTACGTAACAAAGTTTTCATGTACATTGATCATTTTTTTTTTTACACGTAATGTTCTTTTTAATCAGTTAAATATTTATCTAAACTATGTTTGATAATAAAATTTCAGAATAAAAATGGCAAAGAATCTTCGATTTGTGATGGCATTAACAATATTGGCATTAACGTCCATGTTCAATCAAAATAAAATCCAGTCGATCTGTACATATTTATCTACAGAATCTTTAATGCGAATAACAAGAAAATACATGCACATTAAACATTAGTGAAGCATAAACATGTGTATAGTTGTTAATGCCGTACATTTCTGTTTGCATTACAATGGCTTTAATTTATGTTTAAAATTTATCTCAGATGATTTTGTTTCAAATATTGATACGTTCATTTTCGGAAATCGACATTATAATTAAATTGTGGAAAATTTCAACGTTTCAATACATCAGTATACAGGTACATATGTATAATTAAGTTTTAAATCATTTTTTTTTTAATTGTGAGAAATAATCTTCCACTTTTAAAAATATTTTCTTTACACAAATAAAAAAAATCGGTGCAATTTTTATGATATATCTAGTTTCAATAATATTTTATCGGTCATGGTAGCCTAGTAGCAGGGCGTTCGCTTCATGATTGGAAGGCCTGAGGGTTCGATTCTCGTACGTCAAACCGAAAACGTAAACATAGGTACTGACTCTTCCTTCGCCATGCGCCCGGATTTAGAAATGAAATTTCCGGATGTTCGGATGAGACCTTAAAAACCGAAGTCCCGTGTCACGATAGGCGTTGGCACGATAAATACCTTCACTGCTCAATGGCCCTAAGTGCCGAGTATAGGTCTAAATTGGAAACCTTTCAGTTGTATGTGGTGACATTTCTCGAATGGGACGTTAATCAATGTACAATCAATAAATCAATCCAAAATATTTAATATCTAAAAATATGTTCGTATCCCATCTCCATACATAAGTCACCTTCAGTGATTTCGACACTATCTCGTTGCCTGTTACGGAAATGGCATTTTGCAACAGCATCTTGATTTGATGTCAATTAATTGTTTGTCGTGTCCAAACTAAAATATCACGTTCATTTCCCAATTTAAAAAAAAAAAAATAACTAATTTAACAAAATTAGAAATACTCAGTATTATCTAAGAAATTTTAAAAAGCTAATTTTCACCATGTCGACAGATTTTTAAAAAAAAATTATTTCAAAATAAATTGCATTTTCATAATGAATTTCAAAATTTATATTTAATCCCTTCTATCAACTTCGTGCAAAATCTGTCAAGTTAGCACTTTTTAAAATTTTGATAATTGTCTTTATTTCCATTGGAAAAAAATTAATAAATAGACAATAAGAACTCAAAATTATGACACCGCTCGTTAAAAAAATGAATATTGTTATCAGTCAAATTTCCCATAAAAAGGGTTTTTCTCGAGAAGGATGAGTTCAACACCCCAGAAGGTGAAGCAATCGTATAATTATTTCTTTGTGAACTGGTGCACAACGGGATTTTTAAAAAGCCACAAAATGTTTGTCGTTTGAACATTTTCTTTCATGTTTTTGAACCCACCTTTCGTGTTTTGCCTCGAAGATGACGTTATTGGCGGCTGTTACCGTGTTAACTATCTTTCATCTGATTGAATCAAATCACAGTCCTCCATACAAGGGAAATTTTAATCTGTTTTTGAGATCGGACAACAAGGTCTACATACTCAATATCAATGGAAGAAGAGTCCATTTGAAGAAACCCATCCTCAAGTAAGCAACAATTCTTTTAATTTCTCGATCGAGAATTTCACTCTTCTGGTTAAAAGGAAGGATGTAGATTTAAATCATGTAAATTAGATAATCGTGTTTCTTGTCCCACGCCAAACATACTGCTAATTTTTTAAAGGTCATTAGAATACATTGGGCACCTATCAAAAGCATCTGTGTTTCACAAGCCCATTTTGGTTTCCCCAAGTTACTTTAAGTGAATAATAAATGCAGGGAAGGAACGCTTTGCTAAACCCACACTCTTAACATATAACATTCTTTTACTGTGTTATCGCTTTGGTTGTCGTATTGCAAATTAAAGGAAGTTTTATAACATTCTTGTGGAGTATATTATAAATATATATTAAAATTATTTTTTATCCATCTAATTCTTCTTATTATATTTTTTAATGGAGGGTCCAAATGCATTTGTCTTAGAATTCACATGCGTGTTACTGTTCATTTTTTTAAAAAAATTCTATTTAATGCCCTATACTTTTTTGTACGATACAAAGGTGTATGTCAAAAAGTGATGTCAAATGGGCCCATCGATCCCAAACACCTAGAATTGGCCTGACAGACATACAATTTAATGTTAACACGTATAATCTGCCTTTCTTGCTGTCTAGCCTGCATGTGAATTAGACAAAAGAGGAACAGTTAAGTGACCATGTCATTCAATTCAATTCTTCGTTGTCCTTGAGTTGTACAAGTCAGCGAAATGTCAAAAAATATATTCACAAAATATCTTTATCATTTTGATCTCACGATTTATAAAGCCTCATGTTCCCTAGGATATTATTGTGTCTGATCTTGTCTTAATATTCAATGAAAGATCGTTCTTAATTTTATTAACAATCCAACTGTCATATGTTTTCGTAACCTTCTTTCAACCAGTGTATAAAAATTCTCAATTTCCTTCACATGTTAAGGAGGGATTAAAGTAAGTAATATTGCTTTGGTTGTCCAATTGTGAATTAATTGAAATTTCCAAAATATGCTTGTCCTGTCGTGTATGTTATAAAATGAACAAAACTTAAATGCATGTAATTAAGTAACCTTATGTATAGGTCTCCAACAAAAATGTTTATTTAATAGTCTTAGCACCTTGAATAATCAAGAAAATTCTCACATTGTTCCCCTAATTATAAATAATTATTTATTATGATTAAGTTATTTGTAGTTAATTTCCAAACAAAACTTATAAATGCTTACCTGAATATGTTGTCCAATGTGTGAAATTCTAAGTTTATTAGCTCTTAATAAATTTACTATATATAAATAAATATTCGAATTTAAATAATGCTGCTGCAATATATTCATTGATTTGCTTTGATAATACTGCTGTCAAAATAAGCAATTAAAATTCTGGTAGCTCTGTTTGGAAAGTCGTTTGTAACGACTAAAAAAAACATGCAGCTCGAGGTTACATAATCTCAAGAATGAGGAACAAAATTGTGTTTCTACGTTATTCATCACAATGATTATCTATAGTATCTACAATTTATAATTTTACTCAACTTATAGATTAATTATTGTAAACAGAAAAATGCACCTTTCATTACATATCATAGAGAAATTAGTTCTTGGTCAGCCTTCTTATGAACCCAGAAAAGCCATGCTTGTATGGGATAGCGATAGATAAATATTGAAGTAAAAAAAATTACTGGGATATCAAAGATTTGATCTTAAACCACCCAATTTTCATAGATTTTAGAATCTTATATTTTTTTTCAAAGCCTCGAAGGAAAAATTGAAAATGGAAGAAGAGAGGCAGAGGGCTTCAATGTTAGTGAAATATTAGGGAGGAGGAACAATACAGCCATCAGAAAATCAACTCTCCGGCGCTCGCAACGGCAAACTTATCCAGGTATCTCTCTCTCTCTCTCAAAACAGATTTGATCATTTTACTGTAATTTCTGTCAAAAGTGCTATTCTAGATTTTAGAAGTAGCATATTAGGGTTATCTGCTCTTAACTTATTTCCATGCAGGAACAAAATGGTGTGGCATTGGGAACGAAGCTACAAGTTATGAAGACTTGGGAACAAATAAGGATGTGGACATGTGTTGTCGAGATCATGACTTCTGTGATGTAAAAATTGAGGCTGGAAAAAGCAATTATGGTCTGAAGAACGATGGTTTTTTCACCATGTGAGTGTAGTTTGCATATATATGTATTACATGTACCTATTCAATACGTACATATAAATCCATATGTTGGAAAATTTAGAGGCATACAGGTACACATCCTGGATTTTTAAAAGTTTATTGATAAATTAATCGGCACTCTTCTTGAGGAAAAAAAGGGAAACAGTGTGTACCAAAAGTTATAATGTGAATGTACAAAACGATTTTTAAAAAAATACTTAATTAATCGACTCCAATTCTGCTCCCTTTTGTATTGGCGTGAATTCTCTTTTAATAATTTTAAATACATTTCATTTGTTTCTAGAGTGTCCTGTGAATGTGAGAAGGTATTTTATGGTTGTTTATCAGAGATACCACAATACCCTCATGCAGCTATTATTGGATTTGTCTACTTTGATCTTTTTAGTCCTAAGTGCATTGGAAAGAAGAAAGTGTGTACTAGGTACACGTAAGTATCAAAGTGCCTTCAAGAAAACAGGTTTTTGAGTTTGTAAAATTTTTAGTTTTCATTTAAAAATAAAAACAAAATGTCTAAACATAAACAAATTACAAATTCGATTTTTCTCATCTGTGCCATTTTAAGATTATAGTGATTATTCGTGGTAATACAATATGCCACTATATTTCCATTTCTATTTGTTTTCTCTGTGATAACTATTGAAAGTTAGCTGAGTTGATTTCTTGATCATTCTACCGGAATGTAAATTTCGCTAAGCGGAAGGTCAGGAGCTAAGAAGGCCTAATATGCATTCTCGTGCGACTGTCTTTATGTCTGACGCTAAGGAGGCCTAATATGCATGTAAATCTCGTGCGGCTGTCTTGTTTGACGTCAGTGGGCGGGGACTATTGAAATTGACATGTGAGGCATCGTGTAAGGGGATGCTCACTTCTCCATGACACCTGATCCCACCTCTGATGTTTAGAGGTCCGTGTTTGCTCTGCTCCTATTTTGTATTGTTTAATGGGCTTTTGAGCTTGAATACTGTTCGTTATCTCCATATATTTCATTAAATCTATTAGTCAACATTTTTAAAATCTAAATTTACAATTTTATTTCACAGTGAAATGGAAATATAAGGAATCACTGGCTAGTTAGTAGAGTATGTCAGGGACATCAACGATAGTTGGAAACGTGGGATAATTTATGCATAACGGGCTTCGTCCGTTATGCAAATTATCCCACGTTTCCAACTATCGTTGATGTCCCTGGCATACTCTTCTAACTAGACAGTGATTCCTTAAATATATTCCATTACAAAATTTATAACTGATATGCATGTAACTCGACACTTGACACAAATTACATGTATTTCTCATATTTGTTATGTAATGCGGCCACAGTTTTAGCACTCATGAGATTTATATATCAGTAATAATTCGAATAACTAAGAATTTTAAAGGAGTCTATCAGATGCTGTTTTTATCTATAGATCTGCCTTTCCTCTTTAGGCCACCTTACTTACTATTACCCATTGCTACCCGTATTCATCCGTCGGCATGCAAGGTGCGTCGTCCATTAACATTTGAACATTTTCATCTTCCACTCTTAAACTGCTTAACCAGTTTCAACCAATTTTGGTATCTATGGGCAATGGGGGAACGAAAATTGTAAATTTCATGGTCTAAGCCCTCCTAAGGCCTAAGAGCTGGGCCAAAGCCATCAAAATAAATGCAATCTTCAAAAATCTACTTCTTTACTCCTGGACACCAAGCAGTCAAACAGTTAGCATTATTATAATAAGTATTCAGCCCTTCATCTTCATTCACTAGTTTATTTTGTTTTATCATATAATTATTAAATTGCCATTCTAGGGGTGTTGTTTCATACTCAGATAACCGCTAGGACTCTTTGGTCTTTTGATTGCATTTTTATCCTCTTGGATTTTAAAGAATCCTTTTCATATGTCTAGAAAAAGTGAAAACTGCAGTTTTGTCTACAAATTAAAGGTTAAACTATTCCATTCTTTACAAGCAGTATTAATTTTACTTTAATAAAGCTGCCAAGATTTTACACCAGGTACGATTAGGAGGATAATGAGAAAAAAAGAGATCCCATCTCTGGAGAACTAAAAGACTATTGAAACCTTTCAGATTTTCAAAATCTATTTACACTCATTAGAGAAGCTTTAATTAAGGAATAATTTTAAGTTTTGTGTGAGTTATTGGTGTGTAAATCACTCAGACTTGTTACGTAGGCATATTTCATAAAGCGCGCAAATGAAAAATATGCCTTCGTTCAAGTCTGTGTGATTTACACACCAATAATTCACACTAAACTTAAAAACATTCCTTGTATTTACATTTTACATGCTTAAATGCACCAAAAATATACTAAATGTTTGAATTTCTCGCTGCCCTATATCGTCATATTTTTAAAACGTCTCTGTAGCCTCATTGTGACCACTTTAGCGCAAGTTTCTCCGTGTATACAGTATTTCTACGCGTGAGTATACACAAAAATGGCTTTCAAATCAATTTCACAGTTGGCTTAGTAGAAAAACACAGCAAATGTAAATATGTATATGTACAATAAATACATTGAGACATATTGGAACTGCTGAAAAAATGACGTCACTTCCTAGTCCTCTGGTTATTGTACTATAAGATGTCAGTTAAAACATGAATGATATCTGCAGATAACAGCACGAACTTTCAGGATTATTTTGTGATACAAGTTTAAAGATTATTTCAGATTTTTTTTTCATTGCTTTGCAGATTTTGGAAAACTTTTTGTGTTGCATGGAAGGAAAGTGAAAAAGTTGACTTAGTGTCGAATAAATTAGTCTGGTTTTTGTAATATTTTACCTGTAATCAAATGCTGTAAAATTTAAACATTTTAAATGTAATTTAATTTCTTTGTAATAGTTCATTTTGTTAGATACATTTAATTTGTAAAAAGGATTTGTTTCTTTGTGCTTTATATATGAATTTTTAATACTTACTTCAATATTTTTTTTTATTAAAAACATTTTACCATTTCAATATTGCAATGAATATAATTTTTTTCGCTGAGTTATCTTTTACTTAGGTAAGTTTCCAAAGCAAACCTTCACAATTCATTCTGTGATTTTGCCTGTTTGCTGAGAATGTAAATCAACGAGCCCTTGGGTTATTTTGTTTTCTATCTCTGTAGAAATGATGTGTTTGTTTAACAGACTGTTATGTGTGTTCTTCCTCTTTGAAAGCCAGTCCTTCGGTTGAGACCCTATAAAACGAGGTCCCCTGTCGCTGGGGGGTGCTGGCACGAAAAAGATCCCTCACTGCTCAAAGGCCGGAAAAAATACTGCGTAAACAAGTCTTAATTTGCAGCCATTTTCCGACAGGTGGTTGCATCTCAATATGAGTGAAAAATTCTCGAGTGGCCGTGAAACGAACAAACAAAAAATCCTCTTTGAGACTGGCAAGGTTTTGGAATTTTGTCCCCCAAAAAGACCAGTGTTGTTTACCTTATTTAATTGTCTTTTGAGTATACGAATTTGATTTTTATAATCACCAATCATAATAAAAATGAACAAAACAAGTATAGAAAAAAGTGAAGAAAAAAAACTTGTATTCAAGTTTTAGATTACATTTCTTTCCAGACGTCCTGCAGAATGGCAAAGAGGTTTTGTGGCATGAAAATGCATATGAATGCTTTCCTTAGCAGAGCGTATTTTAATAAAAAAAAAAATAAAAAAAATATTGACATTAACCTATATACAAGTTACTAATCAGGAGTGAACCCAAAACGTATGCATACTTTACTTATTTGTGATAGGATGGTCTTCAATTAGAGGCGATCTTCAAACTTGTAAACCAGTTTCTCCCTTTCCACCAACAATATATTAAGCAATCCATTTCATACAAAGTATACCATATCAAAAGTAGAAGAGAGTACGTGTAAGGGAAACATACCATGTTAATACAAGATCATGTGTGTCATCCCCAATACCTATGAATTGTCTCTATCTTTTGCACAGGACGAAAGACCATCTTTAAACAATCGCTTAATGGTGGCTTAATGGTAGCTTAATGGTGGCTTATAGAAGTTAATTCCTTTAAGCCACCATTAAGCCACCATTAAGCTGCAGCTTCTAGGTGCTTAATGTCCAAACTTCATTAAGCTACCATTAAGCCACCTTTAAGCTGCAGCTTAATGGTGACTTAATGTCCAAACTTAATTAAACCACCTTAACGCATCCAGTATCAAGACCTTTAAACTAACTTGTTAAGTTTGAAGTTGTTTCAGTATCATTTCCGCAAATACTTATTCAATTCATAATTTTTTTCTCGCTATTTCCAACATCTTTGTCAATGCGTATAAACTCGGGAACTGAGAACAGCTGCATCAGATGCCTTAAAATTTTCGCTCCCTAAAATCAGTTTGTTTGAATACTTGTTTTGAAATTATTTTTATCCATAAATACATAATATATATTAATTTAAAAAAAAAAATCACATATTTTTCTTTCGTGTTTGGAGAGCCACGTTCCACTGCCGAATTCATAGGAAATGTAATTAGAGTCATTTTCTTCTGGAATATCTCTGTCTCTTAATTTTTCTTTGGGTAGAGAAAAGTTTAAGATATAAAAAAAATATATAGGTATAGATTATATTGCCAATCTTTGAATTAATTCATGAATAATTTGAATTAATTCGTGGTTAAGTGCCATTATTTTTTCCTTTCTTTTAAAATACTGCAGAAGTAAGAATTTATTTAAGATAATGCAGAAGTAAGAATTTATTTAAAATAATGCAGCAGTAAGAATTGATCAAAATATAGTCGGTCTTCAATTATTGTTATTTCAAAATCAATTTTCAGAAGAACAGCCGATCAGATTAAACAGGGTATCCGACCAGATTTATACACATTGAGAAGCGGGGTAAAATAATCAGTGTACAGTATATCGACTAGTTAGACAATAGACCTTAATTAGGTGTCCCCACCAGTCCCCGGTCAATTAACAGGAAACTATACACGGGAACGTACAGTGATAGATTTTGATGATCTATTTTTTTTACAAAACTTAAAATTTACGCAAGCATATAACAAATTAGAAATTATGATTGTACACAAAAAGACAATTATTTTGATACCCATAATGATATAAAAAGAATTAAAACTGAAGATATGTTACAAAAATATTTTATAACTTAATTGTTACGCAAAGATTGTCAAAAATCGTAAATATCCGCAGCATATTTTTAAGAACTATAATCTGTTTTTTCCCCCAATCGTTCTCTTTCGATGATATATTCCTTTTTAATAACAACATTTTGTTATATCTGTTGAATTTCAATCTTTTCATGCTTATAAATCGGCGAATAACAGAACGAGGAATTCAGTTACTAAAAAATCAAAAAGTTGTTTCACACCATCACACCGAACTCCGGTCCACGGTTAAGAAATATTAACGTAATGTAAAACTTTATCAAAATTTCTTTTTTAAAATATATACATATATATAAATTTAATTATTCGTATTATTGATTAATAAATATAAACATCAGGGAAAAAAAATACATGTAGGGTACCTGTAACCATTCCAAATAAGTTTTGTTAAAAATAAAGATTTTATATTTCACAGCAATTTCAACAGCTTCGATAGCTCAGCAGTTAAAGCGTTCGCCCTCCAATATGAAGGTCGTGGGATCGAACCCTGTTGGGAATGCTTTTTTTTTCATTTATTTTTTTTTTAATTTTCTTTCTTTTACATTATTTTCGCTGATTTAACAAATGTATAAACTCGACATTTATAATTTTTGTGAAGAAATCATTATAAAATTAATATTTAACCCGTAAAAGCAGTTTTATCGACTGCGTAATGGTGACTTAATGGTGGCTTAAAGGTGGTTTAATGGTAGCTTAATGGAGTTTGGACATTAAGCACCTATAAGTCTGGCTTAATGGTGGCTTAATGGTGACTTAATGATTGTCTAGAAGCTACCATTAAGCACCTATAAGCCACCATTAAGCTACCTTTAAGCATCCATTAAGGACTTTGAGATGGCTTAATGGTTACTTAATGGTGGTGTATTTATAACTTAAATGTAGCTTAAAGGTGCTTAATGGTGACTTAAAGACAACCATTAAACCATCATTAAGGACCTATAAGCCACCATTAAGCCAAACTTAAAGGAAGTGTTTCATCTTGTGTTGATAATTACAAATTAAGCGACTGTTATGTATAATAGTAACTTTTTTAAAGAAAAAACTAAACTTTCAATTTTTTTCCCCTGAATATCATAATTTACACAATTTTTAACGATAACTGACGAGTGCTTATGTATGATACATTTAAATTCATTAAGAAGAAAAATCAATCTTTGATAAGGATGAGGGCTCTTCAAAATGAACTCTGATAACAGTTATGTTGCAACTCTCAATAAATTATATGAAAAATGTAGTTGAGATAAATGTCCTGAAAAAATATTAATTTTTCTTATCAAGTTTAAGAAAGAATCTTTGCAGCTAACACAATTTGAAATATGAAAGTACGCTAGATAATTTATAAAGGTCGATATGAAAAAGAAAAAAATACATGATAAGGTGTTGTGAAAATGTGTTATAGTTTGAGTGCAAAAGTACAGTAGTTTTCTTCAAAGAAAAAAAAAGAGCTTTCTGGACAAATGGCGAAGGAAATCTATAAGTGTTGCAAAGAGATGATATATAATTTGATGGTTAAACATTAAAGATAATTCAGAAACATGTTAACTTTATTACCAAACACATGACATGCATTTAAATGCCTTATAAATGATATATGAAAAATGGACTTGTCGCTGTAATCAGAACAACACTGTATATGTAATTCTGTATTATAAGAGATTTTCTTTCTCATACCCCAGTTTCTGAATCTTGTTAAGATAGACGATTGTAAATGATGTAGTATGTCAACAAACCCATCCATAAGAAAAATATGATGTAATTTCTTGAATCGATTTCGTTATTTTTTTTTTTTAAATTGTTACATGTGATAGTATTTTAAAGCCTTCTCTGTAATGACTCTTTTATAGAAGCCCTGGTACGCAAAGTCCCAGAATGTCTCAGAAGTATCTATCATAAGTCTTTGATAGTCTTAACTTATCAGGTAAAATTGGGTTGCTAGGTGTCATGGTTATCATGGCAACATTCTCCGAAGATTGAAAAATTGCATTTTCGAAAGTTGAAGACTCGATGTCTTATTCGGATTATAAAAACTATTTGGGAAGACGATAATTAAATGTGTTACCATTGAAACAAATTTTGAGTAGCTGTAATTTTTAAATAGCTGTAATTTTATTCATTTATTTTCATTACATATTAAAAAAATTTATGTAATTATAAGTTAAATGTAACCAAATAATAAGGAAAATAGGTAGTCTTGACTTTCCATGTCTTTCCTTAAGTTTGCAGTAATAATCAAGACTTGCCCACAAATTTTGTGCCACTCCACTGTGTTACTATGGCAACCATCAATGTTATATTCTAAATAATTTCTTTATAGCATAAGTGGCGACAATGTGTGATGGTTTTTTTAAGAATAGTAAAAATGGTGGTCCTAGTTTTTCTTTATACTGCTCAATAAAGATTCAAAGTATCTGAAAATCGCATTTTTAAAATCTTTCCATCTGTTACCATGGCAACCAAGACGCATAGCAACCAATAGCTTTTTAAAAATCTATAATAACTTATGATCATGATATTCATATCATGAAACGATGAATGACTATTTCAACAAAGTATCGCTGTAGAAGAAACAGTTCCATGTAGATTTGAAATGACACTTCGGTGGTGACGTCACCGATGGTGGTGATGATGGTGCACGCGGTCGTGTTGAGCATCGAACTCTTTGTGCCTGCAGACGAGAACTGGCACATGCGCATGGTGGACGCAGTAATCGCTGACACTTCCCAGAAAGGTTCGTCGGACTTTGCTCATACCTCTAGTCCCCACAATGATTAAGTCGGCTTTTTCCGTTTTTGATACTTCAATGATTGATTCACCAACTTTCCCGGTCATCTGCTTCATTTTCCCGCCAAGCTGAGAAAATAAACAGGAAATGTATCGATTATTTATGACAAAATTTCACTCCGCTATGTGCCAATTTTGACTTGCATTTCTAATAGTTTAATACAAAAGAAAAACTCGTTTGTTTTTATAACGATTAACGTTATCATTATTTTTAAATACATGTAATTGCGACTGATATTTAAAAATAACTGTATGATGAACATCTACTTAAAATTCTTCGTAGTCATAAACAGTGAATTGGAAAGTTCATAAATATCACTACATTATTTCCAAGAATTTGTCGAGCAAGTGTTTCTGATCATATAATATTATCAAACTGAATAGTGCTTACACCAAATTGCTTCATCTTTTCCGAATACTTGTGAACCAGGTCTCTGGTTCGAATTTCCTCCTCTTTCAGCAGCTCATTAACAACTCCTGGGTCAGTCAAAACTGCAGCTGTTAAAATATAAATAACCGCTTATTTCCAGATAAAAATTCAATAATTATCGTCGGAACATGTATCTTCCTAGAAAAAAAATATTTTGTCTTAATGAATTTGTTATACGTCATTGTAACTAAACATAAACATGTACATAAACTTGGAGGAACCAACTTGGCACACACAGAGCAAAATGTCATTATAGTAAGTTTATTTTTTAAAGACTTTTCTTAGCGGGGAGAGGATGAATTTTATGCATTTGTTAGCAACAAACTTTCACATGCTGCGTGATCACCAGTGCTGTTTTCTTTCCCTTCTTTCAGCTCATTTTAAATTTTTCACATATGCACAGTAATATTCGGCGTATTGCAGTTAGCAGTTATCGAATAATACAGGTCTATATGAATTGTATTATATATATGATTGAAAGTAAAACGTTTCTTTAATTAATTACGTTAGTTTAATTAAGCAAAATGAAAAACAGTGAAAAGAAGGTTAAAAGCTGACATTTTTTCACATTTTTTTTTCTCAGGAAGTATAACGAAGATCATTCTTTGCAATTTTTTATTTATGGAAATTATATATCAACATACGTGCCTGGATCACCCCATGGAATTCTGGGACATGAACCAATACAATGTTATCACCTTCCTTTCTCACATGATCCAGATAAACTGAAAGTGAAATAAGAAACATTTGGGATTACATTATTCCTGAATATTGTGTAAACATGTTCACTAACTTAGTAATGGTTTCATTCAAAAAAAGGCAATCATAATCAAGTTAAGATGTTGTATAGTGCTTGAAGATATCTCCATCTTATTTATCCCTCCTAAAAATAAAACAGATAATTACAGTAATAGAAGTTAACTATATATATAACCATTAGCTGTCTAATCCCCGTACGCGTGTAATAATATTACTGGTGTTGCAACAAGCTATTTCATGAAATTTTCACTAACACGGTTTGCCGCATGAAAGGAGTTTATAATATATAAAATTCCCAAAATACATGTAAATAAGGGATACTAAGCGCTACAGAGAATCGATGTCTTTGATTTTCAAACACTTGTCTGCATGTTTCGATGCTATCAAAAGGCATCAAACGGCGGTATTTTTATTGTATTAACATCGCACATCTTCTCTTAATAACCGTCTCTCTAGAAGAATTTCTACACAAATTGAGGTCTAAAATCGTGTGTTGTGGTGGATATCTGTCTTCGGTGTTTGGTATTTAACCGGAAATGTTTCCCACTAATTCTTCCACTCACGGAAACATCCCCATGAAATCTTTTAATCTTTGGGTTTTTAGCTTTTTGTTTACACAGGTTTCTTCTGATGGAAACAGAGTTTCCAAAAACCAGTGAAAAGAGTGAATTAACCATTCCTTTTTTCATCACTTGCTCATCAATTTTCCAGAATAATGACTTCTTGGGGACAGATTCTTTTAGAGTGTGGGCTGATCTAATCATTATTTTGTTCAAAAACAAAACAAAGAATTCGGCAAAACAAGATTCTCTGCTTTCACTAATTAACCAAATGACAACCACGTGTCTAGGAAATTCTATTTTAAGAATCTGAATGGTTTCTTGGGTTACATTTAAAATGTTGTTTGTTGGATCGAGGGCTTGATAAATAAAATACATTAGCTTCACTAAGGAATATACCGGGGGGAAATAACGGTTTCTAAAGAAGTCATATAAACATAAATAACGGAGAGTTATTTCCACAGAAAGAAAACTCTGATAATGAGAACATTCATCACAGATCGCAACATATGTTTCCACAAAGAGCAGCATTGCTAATTGCAGGGCTTTGATTAGTAGCTATCTAGATGTCATGCAATAAATTTTATTCGATTGTCATTCTTATGTTTAAATAAACAATTTAGGTGTAAATAATGTTCTTCAAGATAAATATGCAATGAACAAGTGAGAAATAATGATTTCAGAATCAATATATTTGAATAAAACTAATCACTGTTTCTATAGGCCTGACAATGAACCAGAGGATAATACATTGCCTCTCATGTCCCTCTCGTTTAAGTCAACATTTTCTATGGCGTTGATTGAGTGAGTCGAGTCTCAAGACTTGATATCGCTTTAACAAATATATGAATTCTCCATCTTTTTATGTCAGTTTCTAGAATAATCGAAAGATCCCGTCGAGGTATGCCCCAATTTTCATCTCCTAAATACTCATACTATACACTTGTTTTATCCCGGTGTTTCAATATTTTTACGACGTGCAATTTAATTTCTTGAAAATACCTTAAGTTACATGTAGTATAAAATCAAAGAATCTGCAATTAGCTCGTCCTGTTGGTTTAAATCTTTGGATGCAGATGCTTCTAAAGAGTATCTCGTTAATTAAAGGTACAAATTTTTAACTAAACCATTTTATCAATTTGATCAACAGATGTTGGATAGCATTAGTTTCTGTGTAGGCTTTAATATAACAACCTGGCTATCTTAATTAAGACAATTACAATACCTCCCCTTATTTAAGTATGATGAAATCAGATCTATATCTTTGCATTTCCTTATTTAAATTTATTGACATCAGATCTATATCTTAGCTACTAAAATATTATTTTTGACGTTCATTCCTTGCATTCTGGATATTACATTACAAATTTAGAGTACAATTAACTTGATCAATGGAATCGTTAGCACTGTATAAAATCATATTGATTTAAGCGTAATTAGATAACTATAACATTTTCCACATATTGATGTATATATCAAATATTTCATTAAGCGGAGTGACAAATATATTGATAGATATTCAAATAACTAGCTCCTATTCAGGATCTATCTATACATAAACTCTATACAGATGATGTCTTTAAAATGTGTATATTTCCTGAATTCCCGGGCCCTGCACCGAATTTAAAATGTACATTGACTTTCACCTTGCGAAGAATTGTTGTTGAGTATATGTACTTCCTAATGTTAGAAATACTGCATTAAGTAGAAATCATATTTATTAAAAGCTATTTCAGTGATAATGGATATATTTCTGGACAATTTGCTTTGAATACTGTCAAGTCTTTTAATGCCAAAGTGTTGATAACTCGAACATACTAGCTATAGGGAATTTTATCTCATTTGATGACATCCCTTGGGTAATGTCTCAATTTATAATTGATAAATGTCAACAAGCATCTGATCATATAATTAATCAAGTAAACAGCCAATGGTTGGTATTTTGTATAATCAAAGAAAATAATTCTTCATTATTGACAGATAAATATTACTTATAATGATTGATACCACAAAAAAAAAAAAAAAAAAAAAAAAAAAAAAAAATCACTATACTCACAATTAAATGCGTACTCAGAAAAACAGCTGTCATCTACTCCAATAATCACCGTTCTAGAAGATTTAACAGCGTACGGGGAGTTGGCCATTTTATTTTTCTTCTTGTTCCGATTTTCTTGGGGTTTTGCTTATCACTGGCAATAATATCTCACTACCTTTCCCACTGGTTCAAAGCGCACTGGTAACCCCGAGCCAAGAGCAACCCTATATATTCTCTACTCACTCTTTAATTGTTTATATTGCTGATTTCTCCTCGGAATAACACTTCCGATTCTGACTTCAAGGTGACATTTGCCCCTCGGAATTCATCGGAAATCGAATCGGAGATTTAATGGTATTTACACGTTATTCAGCGGCTCAAGACTCACTCAAGGAGTTTTCTCATTTTGGCTTGATTCACTTCATCTAATTTTGAATTCGTTTCCAATCATTTCTCACTTGTAACAAGCCCTTTGCTGTAAGGGGGTTTTATTTATGCAGCCAGTCGAAAAATGAATCAATGCATACTGTGAATTTGTGCGAGATGTATGGAGATAGTAATTCCTCTCTACTTGTGGTCTTTATATTTAAGTAATTCCTCGCTTCTTGTGATCGTTATATCTTAATGGGGAGTGCGAGAAAGCTTTCACAAAAGATTAATAATTCTGAGAAAAATTTCTTTCATTTCTCAATTATTTTATTACACTAGCTAGATCTTCTTCAGTAATTTTTTTAATTCGTAGATGCATTGAAATCTTTAAACACTGTTTTGATTTTTAAATAAAATTAAATGTTAAACAAGTAATAGCTTTTCAAAAAGCTTGCCTGACTAATCAATCAATATCTATAGAACGTACAAACAAGAGAGGTGCTAAACGTTTGCGTCATCAAGGAGCGACATAGTTGCGATACTTCATTACACAAGATGTACAATTGACTTTCTCAAATCTCATATCCAAATACTGCAGATTAACAAATATCTAAGACATGCCACTATTCAATCATTTATTAGTTAGCCCACGGGCTGACAAGTTACGTTGGGATGAAACTCTAACTTTAAGTGCGATAGCGTAGATAATAATTTTGGGGAAAATAATTAGATGACTCTAAAGAAATTCATATTACATATACTCTCTTACTAGAGGGCGCACTTCTCTGGTCAATGATAGATTGATGAGACGGGCTCTTTTTATAGACTGGTCTGTTTTCCGTCGTTCTCGACGTCGAAGTAAATTATGAACAGTTTTAACTGCCTTTTCTTGAAGTGTTTGAGACAAAAATGCTTCAATGTTGTTCTAGAACTCAAAGTAAATGGACTGTACACTTTATAGGTAGAGCAAAACAAGATACTAATAACACCCCCACCCCCCAACCCGGACGAAACTCACGCGCTGATGGTCTTACCATATACATGTACATGTATTATAAATGAGTTTAAAAATACATCTTTATGTGCAGTTTTAAAATTGTTTAGTTTTTCTTTTCAATCGATTTCAGGACCTTTCTCATAATTATAATAACGTGCCTTTACTTGAAATGAAAACTAGTACAGATCATGATGCCTTCTTCATTTTGCCGATTCTTTGCTTAGAACCTTACGGGAGTTAAGCCCATTTCTATATGGGTACTGACCTGCTATTGTCACTATCCTTGAACATCAGAAAGTATGAAATAATATGCTACTGGCTGACTTTCTAAGCTTTTTCCAAAACCTAACCTTGTAACGTACATTATTAATAAATGTAATATTAAAAGTAAAGGTGGGAAACAGACTGAATCAAGAAGGGATGTCCCATTTACTAGGTCGAGGGAGTTTGCTTATGATTGGACTAGTTCACTTATGGGATAAATAGTAAGAATAATCAGGAAATCCATTGCTTTAGTGTTGCCTGCCCATATACAATGTGTTCTTTTAAAAATGAGATAAAATTTACTGTTAATAAAAAATCTGAAGCTTAAGAATCAGGTTAAAAGAATAAACGTTATTTTTTTCCATAGAAGTTATCACACCCATTCAATAGAACAATCCAAGAAAAAGGCGCGAAGATAATTTACATGTGACATTTGGCGCGAAATGATTGTGTCACCCCTTTTGTAGAAGGCAAATGGACTAATCCAGTAGTTTAGAAACGCAGAAAAAATGTTACACGGATATGCCCGTACAAAGAATTGCAAAGAATAAATATGTGCATGCCAAAAAAAACTGAAGGAATTAAACACATCATCATTTTGCATCAATAATACGATTTTTTCTTCAGCAAACTGTTTTGGTTTAAATGCAGGTAACAAATTCCAGTGTAAATCAGCTTCCAGAAAATCTAGTTCATTAAGAATAATCGCTTAGTTTCGGATCTTGAAAAAATTAATCCTTATACTGCCTGACGCACGTGGCGTCAGGCAATAAGTACATATGTACTGAGAGGAAATTATTTATAAGATCACTGTTTCTTTTTGGACTAAATCCTCCAATTGCTGTATTTGGGTTTGAAGTGCTGCTATATTATTTCGCTATGTTTTTTTTTCTATTATAAACCTACATATTATTCACTGTGGAATTTGCGACCTTCAAGTTATATAGCGAAAATTAACACATTCGACTATTTTCCTCACCTCAATTTTTCAGTTGATCGACCTTTTTATACACAAATGCTATAAATAAAATGTAATTTTAATGATTTTCCCCTATATATTCCTATGTAAAAGTTTGATCTCCTATTGTGGCCCTGTCCTATCCCCAAGAATCATGATTTGCACACTGTCTGAGGATACATGTGGCTTTTTGCAAATAAATCATATTTTAAACTTATTCCGCGCGTCCTCGACGGTGACCACTTGGTCTAGAAACAGTCTAATCCGTCCGTAGTTCATGCTATGAGGGCTCACACTTCTGTAATCGATGAACGCTAAAACTTCATATCTTGAAAGGTTTTTATCATTAAGAAAAATGAAAAAGAAATCCTTTCATAAAATTTAAGTCCAATGCCTGTCGCGTGTTTGAGGATCTATGAACTTCGACAGAATCAATACACAGTTTTGTAATTGTGTCCTCTCAAAAATTTAGAAATTGTTAATTTTGTATATCACAATTTAATTAATTGTAAATTTCTAAATTCTAAATTTGGGAGAAGACAATCGTAACAACTGATAGAAGGTCTCTTATTCTAGATTGAACTTAAATTTCAAAAAGAAGGGGGGGGGGACCCGAAGAAGGTAAATTTAATATGAATCATCAAGAGAGATTGTCTGAGACTCAGAACATGGAAAAAGATAAGCAAATTGAAATACATGTACATGTATTAAGGTGTACATCGCGTTGTCTCTCCTCACTCCCTTGTGCTGTTGTCCTCGTGTTCGCCGCCCTCTCTTGCAAAGTTTTATAATAACCTTTATCTCAAAGAATTCGTTTTATTTCCATTCCGTAGACAACGAGAATACTAGATCAAGAAACTATGGACTACAATGCACTTTCCGTATGGATGCATCGACCATGTAATCTTTCCAGCCCACAATATACCAGTGTGAATGAGATGTCTTTTACATGTAACAATACCCCTAGACGTAGGTAGTCATGGACATGGGTCATACAATAGACCAAATATATTTAAAGTCTCAGTTGATTCACTTTTACCTTAATAAACAATTAGGTCTTATCATATTCGCACTAAACTTTACTCGGTTCCCTTGAAAATTTGAATGGACTATTTAAGGAAGATAAATCAGGTCCATATTTGGGTTCTTTAACGGCAGAATACTAGGTAGTGTTTGCTACATGTATTATAGATGTGCCCAGCATAGGCTCTTTAAGCCAACATGGGTGTCAGAAGCTAAGATAATAATTCCGATTCAACCTTCGCTGTAACTAAAATTTGCCAACAAAGGAGTAGATGCTGTGAACATTAGTAACATTCTAATTCATGAAAAAGTTAATTACTGCATTCCACCATACTTCAAGTTGAAGTGTAAACCCTGCATTTTCTGCAGATACTTCCTAACTGTTGCTTCAAAACTTTTCAATTATAAACAAACCTTACAATGCCTAGATATGAACAAATAAAACAAATCTTCTTAAAAGTGTCCTTGCTCTTCCTCTGCTTTCAACTATATATAGTCCCGCTGGACACGTCATTACTGGTGATGTAAATATAGAACAGTACTTCAATTATATTATGAATTCTGTCGAGGATTATGTCAGACGATGGGCGAAATATAATGGGTAAGTCTTGAACACTTATTTTAAAGAACTGTTTTAGAAAAATTAAGAGAGAATATGCAAACCATGTGTCCTTCCCTCTTCACTACGAGGGTCTTTCAATAAATAATGCAAAAGGTCATCGATCTAAAATAGGAAAAGCATGTAAAGCAGATTCTTAATACTTTCAATCCCTCAAAGCATTCCCTGTTAACATTTACACATGTCTAATGTCTTTGGACCCATGACCAGAAAACCTCAGCATACTCATCTTTAGGGATGCCCTAAGACTCTGATGAATAGCACTTTCCATGATATACCTGAAATTGTAAAATCTTCCTTTGATTGCTTTCATATGTTTTTGGCAGAAACAGATTTCATAATGGCTGAGATCTAGCGAATATGGAGTATGTCCAAGCTCTGTAAACTTTTCTTTCTTCAAAATTTTATTTATTTCTCTATGCTTATTTGCAGCAACGTTTTCAGGTGCAGAAAAAATACCATGGGGACTGGTATTTGGGCTTGCTTTGCAGGAAATTTGCTTGACTTTCCTTAGTGAAATTTTAACATAAATTTTACCATTGATAGTCCTTCCTTTGGCTGTATATACATGTTTTACTGGACCTCTTGAATAATAAGAAAATTAATAAAACATATTTGGAGCCCTTGCTTTTCTTTGCAATAATAGGACGACAGATTTCTCTTTGATTCCACATTTTATTCTTGATCTTCCTTTTCGGCTATAAAAAGTATACACCCATGTTTCGTCATCCATCACTCAAGTTTATCAAATCTTCTTTTTTGTAAAAAATGTTTATTTTTAGATAGACCATTGGCACATTTAACGTGTGATTCCTCTTAGGCATATGTAAAGAAATAAGGCACCAATCTGATAAAATTATTGTAAGATTTATTTCAATTGTCAAAACTCTATAAACTGTTATGACGATGAAATGTTTCGTGTTTTAGCAAAGTCTATCAACCGAAATTTGGCATTTTCAGATATCATGTTGTTCACAGTATCGATATTTTTGGTGCCCCAACAGATTTCGATCGACCAGTTTGACTGCGATCTTTTAATTGTATATTTTTATTTAAAATTTCCAAATCCGTCTGAAAACTATACAGCATGAAAGACTAGTCTTTCCACATATCAAAATTATATCTTTAATATGGGTTAGTCAGCTATTTATGTAATGAAGCACAGATTTCACATACGCCCTCATTTTCATCTTCTTGGCAGAGATCATTATTAAACAGTTTTCAGGTCAGTGTAGTGACCATGCTTA